CTTTATCAGATCGCCAACCTTGAATTTAGGTTTAGATGACAATTGCTTCATATCACAATATAGATTGAAATACACGGTACTTTCATTCTTCTTTTTACCAGCTTCTATAGGTGTGATTTTAATGGAACTGCCTTTGGTGTTATTATACTAAAGCAGTATTTTTGGTAGTATTTCTAAGTACACTAAAAAAAATGGCAAATATGGCTGAAGGAACTGCTTCCAGTGATGCCATAACAAAACATCAACTTGATACAGCAATGATTGATAAACATGACAATAACCAGAATATTGATCTCAAGAATACTTACAATGTCATCAACAGCAAACAACAGACATTCAGTGAAATGAATGCAAATAGAAATACTCTTGTGTGTTATGAGGATGTTAGGGATGTGTTTGTCAGTAGGAAAGAATCTGTGTTTCCAAAGCAAACTCATTTAGATATGGGAAACAATAATATGTATAATATTAAGACACCGGTTAATAATGATCAAGGAGCAAACAAGTCTTATGCTGATAGTAAGGTAGCCAAAGCTGGTGGTACAATGTCTGGTGTTTTAGATATGAATAATAATAAAATAATTAATACCGCTGAATCGACTAATGATGCGGATGTACTAAATAAAGCTTATATTGAAAATGGATTTTAAAAGCTATTTGGCAGTCTGATGACTGGTAATTTGAATATGGTAAATAATAGGATTTACAATCTACCAACACCCCGGGAAATGCACAGCCAGCAACTAAAGGGTACGCAGATACTAACTTTTTGTAACTGTCTGGTGGTACATTGACTGGCACCCTGTATTTGAAAATTACAGCACAAGTTACTCATGGTGAGGCATTAAACGTTACTACAGCAACAGCTTATTTTGTCCAGGTACATAATCCATATGCATATACCCGATTCAATATGACCAATCATAAGATCATAAATTTACCAGATCCTACAGATGCTACAGATGCTACAGATGGAGTCAATCTGAAAACATTAAAAAAACACATTATAAAGCCATCTGATCATACCAATAGATTTGCATATCTTATGGCTCCTACAACTGGTCTCCCACAATGGACTGAGTTGCTGGGCGATAGTATTGCATTAACCAGTATTGGTGATTTGAATACAACATCAGGCAATTATCATACATATATAAAAACGGTAATTTACTCCTACATTAAAAAAGAACTCAGAAGGTCGGTATGGAAATTAGCTATTCAATGCTTTCCCCTTCAAAAGGATAAAGAATATACCTTGTGTTTGGAAATCCTTACCACAGACTATCAATTGTTGCATAAATCAGTAATTACCATTGATAAAACTACCAGCCAGGGAGTAACCGTAAAAAGATGGCATGTTAGTAAGTTTACACATGAGTATAAAACATCCTCCAATCACAGAGAATTTATGTATTACCATAAGGTTGTAGTAGTATTCATTAAAACAACTTCATCCACACTTTACTTCCTCCATGTGGAAAATACTATCGCACAGGCGGGGTCTGATTTGGGAGTATATCCAACCAGGTTTAATAAAATATTACCTAGCAGCATATGGTATTCTTGGCGAAACAATCATCAGGATTTAGATCCAAATAAGACATACGATTACCATACAGCATTTGATATTAAACCGACAAAAGTTGTTTATAATGTGGACCCTGATATGAACAAAAAAATATTGAATATTACTTTGATAAAAACTATAGTAATAGTGTGGCAACAGTAAAAATGGTAACAGATCTGGTATCTATAAACGGACAATAGGAGTATCAGGTATCACATTTACAGGTATAAATCCTAACATAACATTCCCCCAAAAGACTATTACCCATGTTCTGGAAGGAGGATTGAGATTACAAAATCAAACATAGGATTTATCATTATTCAGTAAAATGAGCTTTACAATATGTGTTGTTATACAGTTATGGTTGAATAGATCCATGAGTATAAAAAACGATTGTAGAGAATGCTTATGAAAAACCACATTCAATTTTTAAATCTGCAACAAAGAAATTAAAATTACAAACTTATGGTTATGCTGAAACTCATATCACTCTACTAAACAGTTTCAGTGGTAAACGAGTTGTGTTTTGGCTAACTAAAAATAGTACGGGGTCTCCAGTAGTGCTAAAAGCTTTGATATCTAATTATTCCTCAACTTTAACACAACAATCATCTTTTAAAGCTCTAGATGACTATACATTCAAAGTATTTTCGGAAGATACATTGATCCATAAAGTAATGTATTCCCCAAACTTCTACGACTTTGATTCCGAACAATATCGCAAAATAATGATACAGAAGAAGTTAAACGGGTCATATATCCTATAATAGTCTAATGCACTAATATATGAGTCTGAAGAAAAATATATTCAATTTCAACCACATTGATAAAAACAAAAGTAAGGAGGAAATCGCCGAAATTAAAGAGTTGTACAAATATTATCAGTATAGATACTGGTGTTTTCAAAAGGCGTATAAACATTTCAAAAAGTTAAACCTAGTCTAGCCTGCGTAGAAAGCGTTTCCGTTTGGTTTCGGAGCAAAGAAAGACCGGTTTTGGCCGCGCGAGAAATGAAACGAGAGCCAAAAAATGAAAGAGGCGGGAGAGGGGGGAAGGGAGGAAACGCTTGCAGACAAACCCCTCGATTTTGAAAACCTGCGTTCGCCTGCAAACGCAGCGCCTGATTGGCGCGGCTAGTCGAACAACATTGACATGTGTCGATCAAAGGTTTGTTTCATACTGAGAGGTCCTGTATGGTACGTGTCACGCATATCAATTTTCTGTGGTTGTTGTTTATTCTGGTGGGGCAAGATTTGCCCTCCATCTTTTGAAACGCACAGCTCTTCTTTCGACTAAATAAGGGTTTCAGGTCGTTTAATTTATTCTCCAAAGTGCCTCCTGGATCTGAATAACTAAAATCGATTTTCTTTTGTCAGGGAATGCGATGGTTTCTGCAATGTTTAGTCATGCTGAGCTCAGATCGTTAGTATTTTTTCTTCTCTCGGATAGTGATTTACAGATCCAAATTTCGAAGAAAGGATTGCACGCACTGTTTGTTAAAGTGAAGCTTCATCAACCATGGAGAACTGCATTGTAACTTAGTCAAGATTGCTGATTAAGCAATGATCGTTCGGATTCATTGAGATTTCACCATTAACGTGTTCCATAATACATGAAAAATTATTTTGGTTTCACACACGCGTCCCCTTTTCCGCTCCACGAAGGCCAATTATTTTATTGGTCAATTATGACAGCTGTTGACAGCATCAAATGTCTGTGTGCGAACTCGAGGCATGACAGGCCAAGAGGGCGGTTTTCAAAATCCCGGGGTTTGTCTGCAAGCGTTTCCTTCCTTTCTTCCCCACCCCCTCCCCGCTCTTTTACTTGCGCCATTTTTCGTGCAGGCTTTGACTCTCGTTCCTCGTTCTTTGCTCCTAAACCGCAAGGGAACGCTTGCTACGTAGGCTAAACCTAGTCATAAATATGTCCTCCACTGGTCTGATAGCAATTGGAGCTGTTGCGGTTGGTTTGACTCTTAAACCAGCTGTTCTAGGAAGTATATCTGGCGCTGTTTTGGCACTAAAGACTTTCTCTGAGACTAAAGATTATAAACGTAAAATTGAGATGAGTAAATTTGCCTATACAACTTACCAGAAAGTGTTGCTCGATATTAGAACCCCTGCTAAGAGGGGGCTCATTTAATAAAAATGATTTCCTAAAGGAGTTGAACATACTTGATGACACCATTGCTGATTTTTGCCCATTGGTGACGGAATTTGAAAAACAATGAGGGAAAGAATTCCCCTCTACCCCCACTACTAACTCTAATTAATATTCTCCTTGATGAGATCATAGATTTGTGCCCACCATTCATCATATTTATACTTCAATGTCTTCTTTGATTTTGTAAGTGGTATGAATTTACATTTTATCCCCAAATGTCAAATAGCTGCCTGAGAATGCATTTAATACCAACCATCCGTTTCCGATCAGTATCAACTTGTAGTGCCACTTGATCAATTAATGCAAATATTCTCAGAATTTTCTCTCTGTTATAGTAACCAATTTGTATGTTATTCTTTTGTGCAATATCATTGATGACATTCAAAATATATTTTCTGTGGTAAACAGACTTCTTTCTTATCCTGCACATATTCTCATTAAAAAACACAAACTCATTGATCTACACCTGTGCACAGAACCACAACTTGTTTAAAACTGTCTACAGTTATATTTGGCTTGTTACAGCACCTTGTTTCTACACTTTAAATTTCTGCCAATTGCCCATCGCAAAAGGGACATATGGCTTGGTTTTATTCATTCAATAAATCTATATGCGCTTTTTTCACAGTTCATCCACATACATAATACAGAAAATAAATTTACTTTTATGTCCGCTTGTCTCATCTTATACTAGACATAATTTTCAAAACCGGATTTGACCTTGGGATTTGTCTTTTAGAAATTTTTCCTAGAAATGACCTTGCCCTTTTTGCCTGGAACGATAGCTACTTAAGGCGGTCTTGCGTTACTCTAGTATGCAGAAAATGAGTGCAAATAGAAATGTGGATGTTCAAGCCAATCAACAAGTAGATCGCCCTATTGCTGGTTTAAATAAAAATTATATAATGTATAGCAATAGAATAAAGAGTATGAAAAGTCTGAATAATATAAATAGACAAGATCTTGAAAAATTGTCCAAAGATGAGTTAATTAATTTGGTTATGAATAAAAATCAAAAGAAAGTCCCTCGAAAAAAGTCAAGTTTGGTATTCCCAATAAGGTTAAAAAGTTCATATCTAAACACAAACCTCGCGACAAGTCACAAGTAAATATAATCACCTTTGATAAAAAAAAAAAAAACAACAACAACAACAACAGCAAAACAATTTCTCTGGCCCAATTTCGGCATTAGGAACTGTAATTGGCTAATTTGACTCCTCATACTCTCCAAACTTCATTCCTTGCATTATTCGGTAATAGGCTAAAAAATATGCCAAATGACCGTGTTGATGCAGAAATCACACTATCTGTGGACATCGGCAACACTATTGAAACCAGAGTAAAGGGTAAGGATGGAGAGAAAAAAATAACAAAACATATGATCACTCAACCAAAGTCATATGGCCCTTTTAAAATATCTGTACCGAAATTAGATGTTATGGTATATACATTGTTGAAGAATAATTTTACTTTGCTTTTTGCTCAAACAATAACGGCCATAGGCTGTAGGATAATCACCCACGATAAGCAATTCTTCAAAGATCACAAGGTGGGCGCCTTGAAACTGGAATCATTCTTTCTGTCAAAACAGAGGCAGATCGAAACACATGGCGAAAATACTTGTGTATTAGACTATGTTCGGGATCAATGTCGTGGTAAAAGAGGGTTCAAAACATACAATTGTGACATATTGAAAGAAGAGATGATAGAGTATGCATCTGATTTTCCTTTGACTTCTACTCAAGAACTCATTAATTGGGCTAAAACCAGTCACAGTAGTAATGTTTCCATTCATGCATATGATGCTACGTGCCGTAAACTTACTATTTGCTGCTGTATGTCTGGTCTATTTTGTAAAAGACCACCATTGTTACCCAGTCACAGATGAAAGACTCAAGATAATAGCCGCAAAAGCTAATTAAGGAGGTGTTGATAATCTATGGAAACATATGAGTGACTTAAAATGGACCCGAAGACAAGATCAGATTACATTGCTGAACTCTCTGGAAGAGGAAGAGGAGCTTGACAAAGAAAACCATACTATTGTGCTTCCTGAAGACACTAAAATAGAACATGCCATGAATTTCATTACTTTGTTGGGTGCATGCATTGGGACAACGGGGGTGTTCTCGACGGCTTTCTTGTGCATAGAAACAACATGTATGTACTGAACAACGAATACAATGCACGGAAATCAATCTGTGATACCCTTTATCAGAAATACAAAACACATGAGTTCATATGGTCCAATCAGAGTTACACAGCCCTTGCCACTTCTCCGTTCAAGCATATGTTTGGTTTTCTTCCTGAGAGTCAGTATAATGCACAAACACGTGAAATGCTTGATCATTATTACCCAAGAGCACTTCAACTCAGGCCACTTAAGGAATGACTACCTAATTAAATATGCATATTTCAGTAAATGCTATTTAGAACGGTTTGCTTCCATCAGTGCTCCTGAAAAGTGAACAACAAATGTGTCTAAACGAAAAAAAAAACACGTGAAACGTGATTTCAAATAAAACGTGACATCTCTTCGTCAATGACGTCACAAAACACGTTTTCCTAAACGGGGAAGGGTTGCAAACTTTAATTTTAGGAATTTTCACTACCAAAATGTTACATAAACAGTGTAAATGGTAAATTCGCCTTGTAAGAGTGGAAATGTTATTTATCCTATTAGCTGATTTAACTAATTAATAAGTCACGTGACCTTTTTCCCCTTTATTTACCGATTCCTTTACAACGTATACACACATACAAGGCAAATTTATAAGAACCTTTTTAATAGCCTCTGAAATGTACCTAAAAGAACTTGTTGCTCTTTCATTATCCTTTCCCCATTTTATAGTAAATGTTTTGGCCGTTAATTCTCAATAATCAGTCACGTGACGAAAATTTGAGCTTCTAAAATGCACTCGTATTGCTAAGGCCATTAAACTACATTTGTAGTTCAATTTTCACGATCATTGATAGAAGCAAACTGTTCTAAAAAGCATTTTGTCAAAATATCCATATTTAATTAGATAGTCATGCCTTAAGAGGCCCTGCGCTTAAGAAATGACCGATGATTTCCGGCTTCCCGATTTTTATCTCCCAAGTAGAGGTTACCGAATACTATTCAAAAACGAATTTCTTTTGTTTCAGTTTCGCTCTAAACCAAAAATATCGAGCCGCAAACTTTTCCCGTCTGATAGCAATAAAATCAGGCCTAAAATAAGGCCTCGCAAAAAACGGTTCAGAAATCACTATCGCAACACAAAATAATGAGAAAACCACACAGTGATGAAGACAAAGGCTTTTTAATGCAATATCATTCCATAAACATCAAAAAACTGCTGAAGCGAATAAAAACTAAATTTTCAAATATTGCATACTAAATTAGATAGAGCGTTGGAGCTGATTTTAAAATAATTATCTCTCAAAAGTCCAACGCTGTTGACAGCAATCACAGTGATGAATCAGACATTAGAGGGATATACAATACGATTCTGGAAAAAAACATTTTTTGGCGTTGTACAAAGCGTTTAAAGTTATCGTGTTTACCGTTATCTTGCTACTTCGGCGAAACCCTTCTCTGTTGCTAATACGGCCGTGGATAGCGTGGTAAACGCCACTGTAATCCTTGCTAGGCTCTCAGAGACCATCCTAAGTAGAAGGACGTAGAATTAAAAGAGAAAGGAAGATGAAAAATAGGCAGAAAAAAAAAACTCGAAATTACCATCGGCTCACGAAACTTGAATCTGGAAAATGTCGTTGCGTGACAGCGGCTATTGACGTCATTTGTCTGAACTGCGGCGGAATCTAAACGAATGCACAAATAGAAAACAACTTTTTCACGGCCACAAAGTGTTTAGTGAAACAATCTAATCACAAGCGATGGTGACTTAAAAAGAAAAAATTCCAGCGAACCGCCGCACCATTTTGGCCTCAGCGTGATCTGAGCGTTGTGGGCTCACGAGTCGACGCTTCTGGCCAGCGGTCTATTGAAAGAAATCTGACCCAATGTTTTTTCGGGCGAGAATCATTCATGTCAATGTCCAATGTCTGCCTTAAAGGGAAAAAAAAAAGGATATTGGAGCACTGTCGCTCCCGAGAACGAGGAACATCTTGGTCGCGAAAACTGAGTTCATTACGCCCCAAAATTATTATTATTTTTTTTTTCCAAAAGACTAGCATCTGGCGATATAAAACGTAGCCAGCAGATTCAATTCTTAATAGCACACTGATTAGCCTCCCGTTTAGTATTTTCTTGGACATCAAAATATCGAGGGTGACGCTATTCGGTGCAATGGCGGACTGACGGAATGATGGAACGGAATGGTGGAATACAAGGAATATTCCACTGGAAGGAGGGCGCAAAATCGAATCGCGGTTTTGGAGGCCATCTTGACGGGTAAGCAACCGCGAGAAAATATGCAGTGTTGTGTGATTTTTTTTTTCTTTCTTGCCGCCTAAAATTTCCCAGGAAAAATTGCGCACAAATGTATGGAAAATCTAAAGCAAGCGACCGGACAAACTAAGGCACAAGTGCGGCCCCTATTAATTGTTAGTACAATCCTGTCAAGCTTAAGTTTACAATTCTTCTTTTTTTTTTGGAACAGCCGTTTTATGAAAAACCACATTAGATTCCTGTGATACAAGACCCTTCACCCGTCAAGATGGCTTTCAAAACCCTCATAAGCCAGGTCTATAGTATGGCACACAAAACAACCGAGTATTCTTTGCCTCTACTTTTTTGTCAGTCCAGTTCAAATCAGATACAGAATATTCTGCAAATTCCGTGTTTTAGAGTATTCCATATATTCCGTATTTTACAATATTCCGTGTATTCCGTCATTCCACCAAATAGGGTCACCCTAATATTAGGGAGGACATGGCATAAAAAAAGATAGGAGACCGGTAGGATTTTTAAATCGATGAAAGTACCTCACATCATTTTATAAAATGCTTCATAATTTGTTTCCACGATAATATATTCACGATATTTAGATAATAACCAATGCACTACGCACAACTTGTCATATAACATTGGACAGCATGCCATGCACTCAAGCTCTTGCGCAGCAAAGTTACAGAATGAAATTATTTTTTGCTGCACTGACATTCCTTTACAAGTTCCAAAACCTTCGCTAAAAGGTCTCCAGTTTAGATCTCTAGATTGGTAAGGTATTTCCAAATACCTCGCACGTGTCTTTCAACATACTAACATTGAAGAATGAAAGGTTGTTGCTATGATAATATTGACAAAGATTGTAAGCATCAAATATAATTGGATGTTTATAAGCCCACATTTTCTATCAAATCTTCAACAGCATGGAGGGGGACATTTGGGCTTATGGTATTACAGCGGTATTGAGCTTTTCTTCAAGCGGTATTTCGGTAATTTGGATCTTAAAGTGCGGTATCATTTAGCCCTGCGGTATGCGGTTTTTCATCGGTTAAAGGTATTCGGTAAAAGAAGACCCTTTACAGCCGATGCGGTACTGTTTATTGCGCTCTCTTGTCACGTGAATGCACGTCAGTATTTTTAAGACTTTCGAGTAATGGTAAATGATTACACAATTTCTGACAGATAATCTATGATGAAATTGGCAGGGCATCCTTTTCGATCGTTGTACCGATCAATTCGAGGTCGTCTCACGTTTCCTCGTTATGGCTGTGGTTGACTGCTGGTGCATAAATGATTGAGATAAACAAACATGCGAGATGGATACAACTTAAAGTAAGCGTGGCCGAAAATAAATGTGGTATCGGTACTTCGTCGATTTTTGACACGGTATTTCGGTATTTGCCAGTTTTTCTTACGGTATTGCGGTATTGGGTACCCCAATGCACCCTTCCCCCCCCCCCCCACCCCCACCTACCTAGCATGGTTGCTCTCCAACTTCGTCACCTGCTTTAGGTCCGCTGACCCCTGCACTCGCTGACCCTTAACGTCCGTTGGAATGTATGTAACGAAATACATGCAGCCCACATTCAACATGTTCAAAGTACTTGGAGACCAGCTGAGGCTGAATTCATCATCATTAATAGCAACAACATAAAACTGTTTCACTTCACGATTTCTGGTGATAGAAAGATTGTTTTTTGTTTTGTTTTTTGTTTTTTGTTTTTACTTATATTTCACACATTTGTTTGGATTTCGCTGCAGTTTGGACAAATCGACGCTGTCACGCGAAAACATTTCCAAGATTCAACTCTCCTTAGCAGATGGTAATTTCGAATTATCTTCTTTTTCTACGTATCTTTCATTTTCCTTTCTCTTTTAATTCTATATACTTCTATTTAGGATGGTTTTGAGCGCCTAGCAATGTTTTAAAGTGGCGTTTACCTCGCTTTCCTTGGCCATATTGGCAACAGAGAAGTGTTTCGCCAAAGTGGCAACATAACGGTAAATACGGTAACTTTGAACGATTTTTACAACGTCAGTATACTTTGGCCGAAAAATAGTTTTCCGGAAACATGATGTATATCCCTCCAATGTCTGATTCATCACTGTGATTGCTTTCAGCAGTGTTGGCGGTGACTTTTGAGAAATAATTATTTTAAAATCAGCTCCAACGCTCTATCTAAAGTAGTATGCAATATTTGAAAATTTATTTTTTGTTCGCCTCGGCAGTTTTTCGATGTTTATCGAATGATATTGCACTAAAAGGCCTTTTTCTTTATCACTGTTTAGTTTTCTATTAACTTGCGTTGCGATAGTGATTTCTGAACCGTTTTTTGCCGGGGCTTATTTTCAGCCTGATTTTGCTGCTATCAGACGAAAAAAGTTTGCGGCTCGATATTTTTGGTTTCGAGCGAAACTGAAACAAAAGAAATTCATTTTTGAATAGTATTCGATAACCTCTACTGGGGAGATAAAAATCGGCCGATTTTTATTTT